AGTGTTTCAGCGCTGTATCTGTCTACCGCCTTCTACTCTGTCCTTGTCCTTGCGCTGTTTGTTTTCCGCTAATATGAATGACCAACTAGCCCAATCGTCAACACTACTGAACTTCATTTCTAATACAACGGGCCATATTCAGTGTTTCAGCGCTGTCTGTGTCTACCGCCTTCTACTCTGTCCTTGTCCTTGCGCTGTTTGTTTTCCGCTAATATGAATGACCAACTAGCCCAATCGTCAACACTACTGAACTTCATTTCTAATACAACGGGCCATATTCAGTGTTTCAGCGCTGTATCTGTCTACCGCCTTCTACTCTGTCCTTGTCCTTGCGCTGTTTGTTTTCCGCTAATATGAATGACCAACTAGCCCAATCGTCAACACTACTGAACTTCATTTCTAATACAACGGGCCATATTCAGTGTTTCAGCGCTGTCTGTGTCTACCGCCTTCTACTCTGTCCTTGTCCTTGCGCTGTTTGTTTTCCGCTAATATGAATGACCAACTAGCCCAATCGTCAACACTACTGAACTTCATTTCTAATACAACGGGCCATATTCAGTGTTTCAGCGCTGTATCTGTCTACCGCCTTCTACTCTGTCCTTGTCCTTGCGCTGTTTGTTTTCCGCTAATATGAATGACCAACTAGCCCAATCGTCAACACTACTGAACTTCATTTCTAATACAACGGGCCATATTCAGTGTTTCAGCGCTGTCTGTGTCTACCGCCTTCTACTCTGTCCTTGTCCTTGCGCTGTTTGTTTTCCGCTAATATGAATGACCAACTAGCCCAATCGTCAACACTACTGAACTTCATTTCTAATACAACGGGCCATATTCAGTGTTTCAGCGCTGTATCTGTCTACCGCCTTCTACTCTGTCCTTGTCCTTGCGCTGTTTGTTTTCCGCTAATATGAATGACCAACTAGCCCAATCGTCAACACTACTGAACTTCATTTCTAATACAACGGGCCATATTCAGTGTTTCAGCGCTGTATCTGTCTACCGCCTTCTACTCTGTCCTTGTCCTTGCGCTGTTTGTTTTCCGCTAATATGAATGACCAACTAGCCCAATCGTCAACACTACTGAACTTCATTTCTAATACAACGGGCCATATTCAGTGTTTCAGCGCTGTCTGTGTCTACCGCCTTCTACTCTGTCCTTGTCCTTGCGCTGTTTGTTTTCCGCTAATATGAATGACCAACTAGCCCAATCGTCAACACTACTGAACTTCATTTCTAATACAACGGGCCATATTCAGTGTTTCAGCGCTGTATCTGTCTACCGCCTTCTACTCTGTCCTTGTCCTTGCGCTGTTTGTTTTCCGCTAATATGAATGACCAACTAGCCCAATCGTCAACACTACTGAACTTCATTTCTAATACAACGGGCCATATTCAGTGTTTCAGCGCTGTCTGTGTCTACCGCCTTCTACTCTGTCCTTGTCCTTGCGCTGTTTGTTTTCCGCTAATATGAATGACCAACTAGCCCAATCGTCAACACTACTGAACTTCATTTCTAATACAACGGGCCATATTCAGTGTTTCAGCGCTGTCTGTGTCTACCGCCTTCTACTCTGTCCTTGTCCTTGCGCTGTTTGTTTTCCGCTAATATGAATGACCAACTAGCCCAATCGTCAACACTACTGAACTTCATTTCTAATACAACGGGCCATATTCAGTGTTTCAGCGCTGTCTGTGTCTACCGCCTTCTACTCTGTCCTTGTCCTTGCGCTGTTTGTTTTCCGCTAATATGAATGACCAACTAGCCCAATCGTCAACACTACTGAACTTCATTTCTAATACAACGGGCCATATTCAGTGTTTCAGCGCTGTATCTGTCTACCGCCTTCTACTCTGTCCTTGTCCTTGCGCTGTTTGTTTTCCGCTAATATGAATGACCAACTAGCCCAATCGTCAACACTACTGAACTTCATTTCTAATACAACGGGCCATATTCAGTGTTTCAGCGCTGTCTGTGTCTACCGCCTTCTACTCTGTCCTTGTCCTTGCGCTGTTTGTTTTCCGCTAATATGAATGACCAACTAGCCCAATCGTCAACACTACTGAACTTCATTTCTAATACAACGGGCCATATTCAGTGTTTCAGCGCTGTATCTGTCTACCGCCTTCTACTCTGTCCTTGTCCTTGCGCTGTTTGTTTTCCGCTAATATGAATGACCAACTAGCCCAATCGTCAACACTACTGAACTTCATTTCTAATACAACGGGCCATATTCAGTGTTTCAGCGCTGTCTGTGTCTACCGCCTTCTACTCTGTCCTTGTCCTTGCGCTGTTTGTTTTCCGCTAATATGAATGACCAACTAGCCCAATCGTCAACACTACTGAACTTCATTTCTAATACAACGGGCCATATTCAGTGTTTCAGCGCTGTATCTGTCTACCGCCTTCTACTCTGTCCTTGTCCTTGCGCTGTTTGTTTTCCGCTAATATGAATGACCAACTAGCCCAATCGTCAACACTACTGAACTTCATTTCTAATACAACGGGCCATATTCAGTGTTTCAGCGCTGTCTGTGTCTACCGCCTTCTACTCTGTCCTTGTCCTTGCGCTGTTTGTTTTCCGCTAATATGAATGACCAACTAGCCCAATCGTCAACACTACTGAACTTCATTTCTAATACAACGGGCCATATTCAGTGTTTCAGCGCTGTATCTGTCTACCGCCTTCTACTCTGTCCTTGTCCTTGCGCTGTTTGTTTTCCGCTAATATGAATGACCAACTAGCCCAATCGTCAACACTACTGAACTTCATTTCTAATACAACGGGCCATATTCAGTGTTTCAGCGCTGTCTGTGTCTACCGCCTTCTACTCTGTCCTTGTCCTTGCGCTGTTTGTTTTCCGCTAATATGAATGACCAACTAGCCCAATCGTCAACACTACTGAACTTCATTTCTAATACAACGGGCCATATTCAGTGTTTCAGCGCTGTATCTGTCTACCACCTTCTACTCTGTCCTTGTCCTTGCGCTGTTTGTTTTCCGCTAATATGAATGACCAACTAGCCCAATCGTCAACACTACTGAACTTCATTTCTAATACAACGGGCCATATTCAGTGTTTCAGCGCTGTCTGTGTCTACCGCCTTCTACTCTGTCCTTGTCCTTGCGCTGTTTGTTTTCCGCTAATATGAATGACCAACTAGCCCAATCGTCAACACTACTGAATTTCATTTCTAATACAACGGGCCATATTCAGTGTTTCAGCGCTGTATCTGTCTACCGCCTTCTACTCTGTCCTTGTCCTTGCGCTGTTTGTTTTCCGCTAATATGAATGACCAACTAGCCCAATCGTCAACACTATTGAATTTTTTTTAATAGAAGCAGCGTAGGAATGTAATCCTAATACTAAAAAAAGAATGCGGTTTTTAAATTTCAAGAGAAATTTAAGATATTTCTTTCACGTAGTTTACCATATTCTACCTCTGCCAACACGTATAGGTAAGAAGCTTTCGCCCTCTCAAAAACAGCCTTACCTAAAAGTAGTATACATTAAAGAGGAACACATAAAATAAAAACGCAACCCACTCGTTATGTTCGATTCGGCGCGAGGATTCTCCGAAAATCACCGAGAGTCCCCAAAAGCAGCCAGCTAACAGCGACCTGCTCGAGCATATCACACCTTGCTAGAAACCATTTGTAATCATGAGGGTCACCAACTGACCGCCAAAGAACTTATTAGGGAGTTTTATTAGATTACTCCGACGACTCTGGTAGCGATTCCGATACTCCGGCGACGCCTGTGAGCACGCATCGTACCGTTATCGGTTGCGTTATTGGAGGTTTGGAACGATATTCTAAAACTCTCTATTATCGCACAAGCAACACCGGTGAAGACTGCTTGCGCCACATAACATCGGATTTTGTGATGCCGGCACAAACGGGAAATACCTCGAAGACAGGACCACCGCCGTTGCTCCTCTTACGTCATTACTATGCAGTGTGAAACTGGGGGAGAGGAGGTGATGAGAGCACACGGAGACGTCGGAGTGCCGAGCGCTGATTGGAATGATTAGAGGGTTAACGAAAAGGAGAGCCGCCTTTTTTTTTCTTTTTTTCTACCCACCGTTTAGTCGCGTTCGAGCGTCAAACACAGGCGTCTGAAGTTACAAGGCCAGACGGTGCGCGAAGAGCAGTCGACGCTCTTATTCGCTCTGATTGGAGGGAGAGAATGGGTAGAGACGAATGCCACTGGACTTTGCTTCTACCCCCTAATCCTTCCAATCATAGCTCGGCGCTCTGACTTCTCCGCGCCCTCTCATCTGCTCCTCTTCCCCAATTCCTACCCGTATAGTCCCTGTCGAGGTAAAAACGGCAGGGCGTTTTTTTAGGACGCACAGCGTACAGCACGCTCTCGGTACCTCCCGTCGTTCACTTGCTGCACGCGCCTGCTCAAAGCTTACGAGAAGAAAAAGAGTCATCGAAGGCAGAAAACTCGCGCTGGACGTTGGAGAAGTGCAACGTTTCCCTGGCCGTGTTCAAAATGTACTCCATCTTATTAGAGGATAAGGGTTTTGTACCATGGCGTTCGAAAACCTACCCGCGTTCAACTTCGGTTTAGCTGTGTTGCAACGTGAAACTCGGATCTACTTGGGTAAGATTTGGAACATCCAGCCAGTAGTTCGCATCATATCAATGACTATAAATTTTTCCCCGAAACCGCTTCAGGCCGGTGCTATTTCCAGCGTTTATGTGCATGGCGCGTTATTTGCTCGCTTTCCGAAGAGACTTACATGCGCGTGCTGAATTGTGGAGATTCCACGCTGGTCTGTGGATTTGTAAACATTGGAATGGTGTATAGACAACTGCAAGCATGGCGTCCCGACTGGTGTCCTGTGCGTGCAAGCACGCGTAGCTTGCGCTTGAACGTAGCTTTGACAAGCTTGCGATTGCACGGGCGAGCAGATATGGCGGCGGTCAGTAGGTGAATGTTTGTCGCCGAATTGGGCCCAAAGAAGGCGGGCATCGAAAGCATACCGAATGCCCGCGTGCCCCATCCGAGCACGGTGGCCTGCTTCTTGAAGAAGGTGTCCGTTCGGCGCATGGGAAGGCACACGGGACGGATGTGCTCGTTGAACTTGACCGAGTGCTTGAGCCTGAGCACTGAGATGTCGTTCATGAAGGTGTCCTGCATGAAGCGGGGGTGCTGCCGGATCCGAGATACCTCGATGTCCAAGGCGTTGGGCTCCGACTCGCGGATGTTGTAAGCGCCAAGCCGGATCGTGATGTTGCTCGCCTTCAGTCTGCGACGAGTTTATTTACCCGTTTACTCCCAAAAACGGAAAACAGCTTAAAAAAGAAAAGGAACCGGAGACAAATTCACTGAGCGAAATCTCACCATAGAAAATCTCATAGCAAAGCCAATGTATGCCGAGAAAGGCTCACCGGTCTCCTGCCAGATTTGAAGACAAGCTCACGTGCAAATTTGTAAACACCGCGTTTGCTTAAATGAAATAAGTTCACTCAACGTAAAATTTGAAAGACGTTTACAAATCTCTGTAATGCGAAATTAGAGCGCAGCTCTTGAGGTATTGTGATTTTTCGATATACCATGACGCAGGGCTGGGCAGTATCGCGATATAAATGTACCGTGATAGTATCTTAGAGATACTTTCGAGTATCTGCATCTTTGTATCTAGATAGATTTGAAAAATGTCTCAATCTCAATATCTCAATAGTAAAATACATTTCAGATGTATCGCTTCTATCGCGATACATTGCCATACTTAGGTTTCTCGTTACATTTGTTGTCCTTTTAGATAAATATAAAATATTAAAAAAAAAACACATTTGTTTGGTGCAAGTTGCTTCCGAATTTATAATATGAACCCGCCCGATAACAAGATCCATCTCGGTTACCAACATAGGAATAATCTGTGGTTTAAAGAAGGTTAGTTGAAAGAATAACAAAATCAGCTCCTCTCACAAAGTCCTCCAATATTTCCCATTCCAATTCAGCAGAGCGAACTCTGTAAAGGAGTTCAGTGGAGAAATTTACGGCCCTGTTGACCAATCTCCCCACACTATGGGTGACACAGAAGCATATAAGACGACAATTGGAGAAGCACCCTCATGGCCCAATAGGGCTCATTTCAGGCTACCGCCTTTTGTCAAGCATATGGTATGCAGTATTTACCGTTCTGTAACTATGTGGTTTAACGGGAGTGACATGTTTTTTAGCGGCATTAATGATAATTAAAGAGTTCGAGGTAAGGTTAGTGCATAAATTGGCACAAAAATAGGAGCACAAGCATAAATTACCGTACACATACCAGACATGGACGTAGTTCAACTACTCTACTCAAACTACTGTAGTTTAACTACTTTTCCGAGTAATTTGGTAACTTTCAATTACAACATTATTTGGGTAATTAGTAGTTTAATTTAACTATATTTTTCAGGTAACTTCTACTCAAACTACTAATTACTTCCGAAATCTACCGCTAATTTTGCTCATCACAAAAGTTTGAGCGCAGAAATAAATAAGACACCAGCAGTTGAAGTGGCATTCCGGAACAAGGGGCCCCCTCCCATTCCAGAAACTGCATCAAAGGCGTCCTTGGGCCAAGGTGGTGACGAGCAGCCAAAACATAACACCGTCGCGCACGAACGCAGGCAAAGATGCTTAACAAGCCTTGGTCGTGTATTGACCTAATCCGGTAATGCACGCAGGCGCCCGCCTCCAGCTGCAACCGTGAAAGACAGGGACACTCCCAGGGTTATTGTTGTTTTCATGTTGTCTCTCTTTAGTGACCTCTGCTCAAGCTGTTTGGGGGTTCCAAGTTAGGCGCCACTGGAATGGCCTCGCAGCTGGGCCCCTGTTCCCATGGTCGCCTTGTCGTCAGCGCGTGGTCCCTTGCGAAGCCCGACTCCCCCGCGCACAAACGCAGACACGGATCATCCGTTCATGGGAGCACGTTCCGGCTTCCAGCTGCAACTGTACGAGCGACGATGCTTGTTCACGTAGTTCGACTACTCGTCCTTCCGACTTTCTACGCTAAGGAGACCTCCTCTTTGTTGAAAACGATTTACTTGGCAGGCGTGTCAGGTGCGTCAAGATACCGTAGTCGCCGGCGAGGATTGCGAGTCACCCTCGGGAGATCCTTTTGTTGGACCCGACATCAGCGGCATAATATACTTCGTTTCATCTTCTGTCAAACCAAAGCAATTTTTTTTTCAGTAGCGTAGCACTGCACAGTCGTCCGAATGATCTCACCGTCGTGGCGCGAGACTTTAACCCTTGACGGTCAGATGCACTCGCTCAGCGTACTCTCCGAACGTCGTGGGATAAAGACGGGCCATTTATAACAATCTCAACTTGCCGAAGAAAAACGAAAAAGCACGAGATTTTCTTATAAAAGACCGTCTAGCCTAGGCAAACCTCACATGTTTCGTCCCGGACACCTAAGATCGACACTCGCTTACCCGACCCTGCACAGCCTCTTTCTCAAATTCAACGATGCCGTTCCATCCAGCGCGTCGATGGAACGCATTTTAGCTTGGCTGGGGACGTCTTTAGGAGGAAAAGGGGAAAACTCCCATATCAAGAACTTTGAAAGTCACTTGCTTCTGCGGGCGAATAATCTATTTTGGTGAAAACGCAAGCCATTAAATGACTGCATTTATTTTAGGCTCGCTGGGTTTTTCATGGATCAAAATTGATGTTCATTTCGCTACCACAAAAATATAAAAAAGTAACTTCGAAAGTAACTTCAAAGTAACTTGCTACTTTTTTTACAGTAGTTAGTATTTTACTCAATTACTATTACAAATGCGTAATTTCTACTCTATTCCAATTATTCTTGGCGTCGATACTCAGTAACTTAACTTAACTACCTTTCCTGAGTAATTTGTACATGTCTGACACATACGCCATGAGCTACACCCTCCCCACGTAGCACCGTTTGGAAACAAATGTATTTCCATAAGTACCTGTATCTGTACTCCAAAATACTTTTCCGTCGTTTCTGCAAAAGTATCTTCGGGATATCCCGTTATATAAACGATAAATGCATCTCAGTATCTGTATTTGGGCCTTAAAACACAGGTATCTTAGTATTTGTATTTCCGAATACATTTTGCAGTATCTCTGCCCAGCACTGCCATGACGGGACGGTACGCAGGAGGAGGGGAGGGTACAGAGGAGGAGGAGGGGAGGGCATTAAGGAAGAGGGGAAGGTATGGAGGAGGAGGGGAGGAGGAAGAGGAGAGGAGGAGGGCGACGAGAAGGGGAGGAGGAGGCGAGGGGGACGAGGGGAAGAGGAGGGATAGGGGAAGAAGGGGAAAGGGGAGAGTCTCCTTTCCTCTTTCCTCCCCTTCCTAACCTCCCCTCCTCCCACAGTTTCCCCGCTAAATTCAGCTGGAAAATTGACGCCACGCGACCTCAACACCAATTCAGTTTCCTCGCTCAATGCAGCGGGGAAAATGACGTCACATGACTTCGTGTCACGTCACCTATGAACAAATTCAGTTTCTCCGCCAGATTTAGCGGGAAAATTGACGTCACCGGACCTCTACACCAACTCAGTTTCCCCGCTAAATTTAGCGGGGAAGCTGAATTGGTGTTGAGGTCATGTGACTTCAGTGTTACCGCAAAATTTAGCGGGAAACTTCATGCGCAGTGTTTTATTTGGGGACGGCACAAACCTACTCACCAATTCAGTTTCCTCACTAAATTTAGCGGAGAATTGAATTGGTGTCTTGGACTGTGACGGCCCATAATGCAAAGCTCGCGGTTACGCCGACGGCGACGTCGCGAGGAACGGGGACGAACGCCTAAGAGCTGCGCTCTAAAAATCGTTGAATCGTTACGATAATGTTTTTTTTTTATCTTATTTTTTATGAGCTTTTTTGTGGTTCGTTTTCCTCACTAGGACGTTCAAGACCCCGTTAAAAAAGTATTCAAGAAAATTAGACGGTAAAAATAAGAATCCAAGAACACGTTAAAGTAAGAATAAAACTTTAAATTCCGAATCGACTGATATGCCGTTTGTCGATGCTTTAAAACACAAATGAATGCTGTAAAAACAACAATCTGCCTATCTGTTCCGTTCCCCCTTACTTCCAATTGAAATCAACAAAGCAGGCTGTTCTAAAGTTTTGCTGCACGTACCACCAATGAGTTGAACTAAAACAATGTTCTGCATTTGAAATGGGATTCCGATTGCTGCACAGGGCTATAAAAGATTTTCGATATACAGTGAATTCAGCCTGTAAGATCCGTATCAATGTACCTCGTGACTACTCTGCTAGATAGTGGGGTGGGAAGTACTCAACTGGGGTGTACAAACTAACGGAGCTCTAAATTTTTGTGCCCTCCAACACCCTTCCGAAATCAAGTTATTCTTTGTTTATTCTTTATTTAAATCAGAAATCTGGGAGGCTGGAGCAAAAGGTGAACAAAGCCGCCTGATAAGGCTCCAGTCACCGTTACAGCGCTACAGCAGCAGAGCAACAATAGACATAATTACAGACATGCAACGAATGGTGCGCTTGTAACAATGGCTTAATGTCAAACTAAGATATATATACTGTATATGAACGTAAAGTGGCATGATATATATGCTATCAATTATACAAAACAAAGGGAAAACGAAAAGAAAAAGGCAGGAAGAATGAGAAGGATGAGGATGGGAGACTTGTTATTGTTGAGGACCTAATATGCAAAGTCAGTCTTCGAATTTTCGAGGCGATTGACAGTTAGTAACAAAGTCTACCGTTTCTGGGAATTATTTAAAAATTTAGGAATTATGTAATTATTATATAATTATGTAAATCGTCAGACGTGTTGCGAATTGCACATTTTGCACTTTCATGTACACTACGCCCAGAAATTGTACAACGTGCTTTTGTAAGTACGAACTCCAAGCACTGCCATTTTTCTGCTGTTGGGCACAGATTTGGAAATTTTCGAGCAACAGTCATCTATCTATTGGCGCTAGATGAATGGAATAATGGATGGCAGCTAATATACCTTTGGTGTCGGGCAGCCAGCTTGCGGCCAACTTTCTCAAAAATATGGCACCTCCCCTGGCTAAAACCTTGCTAAGGCACGTCCTCGGTTAACAGACTGGTTCCCCGTCAGAGCATGAGATGCTTGTGTTGCCTTTGACTTAACAAACAGCTAGTAAAAAGGTTAGTAAACTGTTACTAATTGTTTACTAATGATTTTTTTTTGTTAAGAATATGATACAAAGGGTTGAAGAAGAGTTGATTTTGCAGAGCGTTGTTGTTCAAACGTGCACAAAACTTAATGCTTTATTGTTTGTTTTTAACTTGATCACCGCAGTTCCGTCACAAGTTACGCGCGTGCTGGTATGACGTAGCCAGCGCGCGCGTACAGACGACGTTGGCTAATAACCGTCTGACGTCAAGCGCCGACCGGTCGTGCTCCCTTCTCCACTGCGTCATTAGGGTCCGACCTTGTGTAATACGGCGAACGTGCATCAGCGATGCGTTCGCGGCGTAGACGGCGGATCGAACTCGCCAAGCTTGCCGTTAACGCGCTTGACGTAGAAATGTAATAGAAACCGATAGAAAGAGCACTGAAAGAGGCTTGCTGCTAATTCTCATATTGACATCCGATGTATTGCTAACTGCGCCAGATCGTGATTCGTTAAAGGACTGGAAATGAGCACCAAAGGAACGGGAGCAGGTGAAGAAGTGGACGACAACACTTTCCTTTGGAGCTCATTTCCAGTCATGAACCAACAAGCCCAGCTAAACATTTTGTTGCAATCGTTAAATGACCATTGATTCCCTCACATAGTCGGATACATGTTAATAATGCAACGATTGAACACTACTACGCAATCGCTCCGCGTACCAACCAGGAAACGCAATAGCCATGACGAGTTATGTGACGTAAGCGCGATGTTTCCCAAATCGGCTGCGTTCTTGGTCAATGCGCAGTCATAACAGAGTATTTGCGCATCGCGGAGGGAGAGTGACTGGCGGTAGTGAGTATGTGGAAAGAGCTTCTGGCGGATATTTAACTTATTTTATTTAGAATACTGCCAAACCTCTCGGGGGTTTGCAAGAAAGGGGGGGGGGGGGGGGGGGGGGTTACAACATGTAGTTATCAAAGTAGTACACAAGAAGTTCGAACCACACTGTGTATCACTTCTTGAGTCATACTATAGCTATACACTTGTGACTGACTATAGTAGCACTGAACGTTGATAGGTAAACAGAAGTCCGGAACTTGTTGAGCATATTCCAGATGAGAGCAAGTTAAGCTCCACCTCCATAAAAAGCTTGTTTGTTTTTTTTTGCAATATATTAGAATTTTCCTAGGAAGGCCACATGTTCCCGTATTTTTCTAAACTGCCATTCCTTCAATCACTATAATTACAATATTATGGTTTTATTTTGTATTTGTATACCCTTGCATGAGAATAAACAAACAGATGAACTTGTACGTACATCTCAAGTAAAAGTGTGGGGATAGCTCGGTTGTTTATCACGTTTCAGAAAATATGTTTAAACTAAATTGTTTTATTCGTACCACAAATTCGTCTTGACTCTTCTTTATTAGTTTGACTCCATGCAACTGCTAGATTCAGAGTTCATGGCTCAGAATCTGCACAGCGATTACAACAAGCATGGCGAGTTCTAATATTTTTTACAGTTCTTTCAAACAGTGTTGTATGTCGACAAATATTTCGATTAGAATATTTTATTTTTTACGTCATAGAAATAAATCCCCCAACACACAAAAATGCACTCAGTATGCCAAATCTTGACTCGGTCGTTCATATGCGCTGCTATATATCTGGCTTGCACGTGAGGTCATATCGTTATGCTGGTGGTAAATCATACTTGTTCTTTCCGAGGAAAGCAAATTTGTTGATGCGAAACGTATGCTGCAAACCAATACGTGTTCAGAAGCAAGGTCATTAATATTTGAGCGGATTTGACGTAAGTCAAAGCCATGTTTACGATCCTTGAATCTGTACGCCTCGGAAAGTCGCGCAGTTACTTTAAGCTGTAACCTGCGGCATTGATGAAACCTCGCTTCCATCGCCATAAAAAGCTCGAGAAAGCTTCAACTCAAGGATGCCGCATGATGCACACTTCACTACGATATTATATAATTTCAATAGAGGTACAGTTTCCAGTTGGGAAAGTTTATTTCTGACACAAATCGGCCTAATAAATTGGCGTTTATTTCCGTCAAATAAAATTCTTGTTTGTCACTGTTTATTGAGCACAGCGTGACTGAAATCGTTTAAAATATGCAAATAAATAAACACTCGTGCGCAAAAACAAGAAAGAAAAGGTAGGGTATATCTTTTTGGCAGCTTGACGCTGTGACTGCTATCATTGAAAGGGCAGAATGTCGGGATTTGAGTCTACACTCCTGTAAGCAGTGGCACTGCACTTGCAAAAATAGCAGCAATCAAATATAGTTATGAAAACAACTAATAATTATTCTAATTTACTTGTTTTGTACCCGAAAAGTTCTAGATTTGTCCTATTTTTATTGTTAAAATTATACGTGCTATTTGCAGAAAGACGGAGACTAACTTGCTCCCATCTTAAACAGTGCACAACAGGTTACTTTCAAACTTTTTCTTCTTCCCTTTCAATGTTTAATGCAGATACAATTTTTGTGCAAAATATAGGAAATTTATGCGGAAGATGGTGGGCTGGCGACTGCACTGCAAATTGTTTTGAGATATATAGAAGGAACATTTGGTACAAATTATTGTATGAGTTTGAAATAATGCTAATTAGCACATTTGGCAAAATATTAGCGTCAAACTTGCAGTGCATAATCTGACAAATTAAAGAACTTAGAACTTGAACCACGCGAACAAAACTGTTTCTCTTTGTGTAGAACTTGTGGACGCGTGTGACCCTGTTTTGTGTCTTATTGCTGCTTCCTTGGTTCGAGGGTTTAGTTATATTTGAATGTCACCTGCTCGGTTGCAGACTTACTATTTTTGCTTGTTCAAACCAGGTCAAAAAGGCTTCACAGGTCATCGCGAAACATGGAGAGTTATAACATTTGGTAATAATCAGTAATTATGGTCTTACACAATTAAAATACATGCCTAGTCATTTTATTTAATAAACTGGAAGCCAATATTACGAACGTCTTTGGGAAAATGAATTTAACTAATATTGTTTTGCAGCCAGACTACTTTACTGCGTGTTACGTCAAATGTGTAGTATCATCTAAGAAACAGGTGAAACTGCTTTCTTAATTGGAAGTGCTTATTTACATGTACAGTATTAGCGCAATCACGTGACTAATGGTGCTCGTATTTGTGTTTTTGTTTTAGTTTTTTTTTTTTTTTATTAACGATGTTGTTCTTTTGACGGAATGTTTCTGGCGCCAGGACCTCGTCAATCTGCAACAGCAGCTTTTAACTCTTGCGGTCTCTAAAACATGAAATGAAAGTTCTATTTAATAATATCTTTACTGCGTGTTTTTATGGCCCAAACAGTCTCTAATTTGCGATTTAGAGAACAAAGACACACGAAACAAAATCCGAATGCGGCTTCCAGAATAAAAATTTACACAGCAAAGTAAGAAAACATTTAGAATGAAGAACCAAAGCTTTAGTTGAGGGCTTCAGTGGTCCATGTAGGTACCTTACGGTGAAAGCTGATCAAGGAAACCAATTACACGCAACAACATTCAGCTCACCCAACCGTGCAGTGTGCTGCAGTGATGACGTATCTGTTGCTGATGAGGACCCCTCCGCAGTAATGTGTGCCTGTTTCCCTCCTAAGCAAGGCAGCCTGCAAGAGAAAAGAAATATAGACGATAATTATCAAAAATGCTTTCACTTTAACGTTTTGAAGTATGCTCATAAAAAATGTACACCCTATCGTTGCTGTATCAAATTCACAGTATGAATACTTCTCACGATTAAACATTTCTTCCACCAAGCAGCAAAACTTTTTTTTTTTTTGCAGGCACGGGTTTGCAGGGCGCACAAGATTGAAAATCGCAAATATAATTTACTAGTTTCGTGATTCGTCGAAAATAGATTGGTGCGCTTTTTACGCTTTTGTGGAAGCAATGAGCCAAGGCAATGAGCCTTACACACCAATCGAGTCGATTGTGTCGAAAGGGATCTAAGGAAATCCCCCGAAACAATAATGTTCCATCGATCGATATAATGGCAGCGTATAATTGCGTTCGCTCTGAGTTCACGGTTATACCTATACTCCGTTTCGCACTGAGTACGACCACAACCCACGCTGCGATCCGACAAAGTCAATCATGCAGCGTCTTCTGCGGTAGTGCATGCGCAGTTCGTACCCTCCGGTGCGAACTGCGCATGCGCTACAGCAGAAGACTCTCACACATGGGCGTACCAACCGGGGGGGGGGGGGGGGGGGGGGGGCTTGCCTCCTCAGCTTTCGGAGGGGGGGGCAAGGCATGTGTTTTGTGTTTTGCCCCCTCCCCCTCCCCCCTGAAATAGCCGGCACTGGGCAGGGCCAACACTGGCCGGCGGCACCCAAGGGGGGTCTGTTTTGCCCCCTTACTCAAGAACAAGTTAGTACGCTACTGCTCTCACATGCGCCGTTCTTACCGGACGGCACATCCTACCGTATCGCATGTGCAAACACGGTTCCCTAAAAGTTTCTAATATGAGACAGAATAAAAAAAGCTCGAAGACACATTAAGCAAGCAGCAGCGAACAAACACAGCGCTTCTTATCAGAAGCCTGTTCAGTTCAATATTTTGAATTCAATATTCAGTTATAAGACACTTTTATTTTCTTCCTTGTCTTTCTTCCTGTAGACCAAGAAAACAAATCCAACATATATGTTTCAATAATGTAGTGTTCTAAAAAATGAGAAAAGATTAAAGCAATATTTTAAATAAATACTATTTTATTTTATTTCGTCAAATAACAACGTTACTTATGCCAGAAGTGCCCTAAGGATAAAACTGGAGACTCTTAACATTGTTCCATAGCTTGCGCGACATATTCTTTGTCATTGTTTAGTATTTTGTGCATAATACTACCAAGAACACACCGAAGATCGAATGTCAACAAAATAGGATATATATAGCTTCATCCCCGAAGCGAGATGTCGTATAACAAGTTTTACCGCGTAAATATAGTTGAATAAACCAAACAGCGGTGGGAGTGCTCTAAGTTATTAATAAAAGTCAGAAGGCTATTTGGCGGTGAGGGCCTTTTTTACGTTATTTGAGTTACAGTAATATATTTCAAACTATTTTTGAACTCGCATCATCCGCTCGTAAACTTGTGTATTAGACTAGAAATACTGTAAAAATATAGTTATATGTACAAAATGTCCGGGCATAATTTATTATATGCTGATGACCCAGAAGGAATAGGCCAATAGAGCACCGAAACGATAAGTGCATGTCATATCAGCACGAATGATTTTCATTTTAATAAGAGAGCCCGGAATTTTTATACTCATCTGAAGATACAGACGAACATGAGATTTAATTGCGCTAGAGGAGAGGATGTGAGCGATTATCACAAGCTGAATAGCATCAGAAGAATCACATGCACTTTTCCAGCAAATCTTCTGTCTGAATGCCAATTTCGTTACCTTACTAACATCGCAGCATAACGTCATAAAAAGCTGGTGTTCGCGAACGTTATAAGAACAACTCAGTTACGGACCTACCGATAGACGCTGCTTACAAAAGGGGTACCCCCCGCCTCCCGTCGTTTGATATGCCATCGGTCAGAGAACGGTTGCTATAGACAACTTCAAGCATGGCGCCCCGACTGGTGCCCTATGAGTGCAAGCACGTGCAGTCTGCGCGTGAACATAGCCTTTGTAAGTTTCAAATAGCACGTGCTTGTCTGAACGAGCAGAGACATGGCGGCGGCCAGTGGCCTTGCTTGCAATCGTCTATTAGTAGCGAGATGTTTCGGTCGCGCCCTCGTTCGGCTACCTTTTGTGACGTCATTACTTGTGAACAACATGTTCGATGGTGTTTGTAATGGGCATGGTGGAAGCCTGATATCATAGCGTTCTCGAAACAACACTGCCAACACCGACAAAATTGAAGGTCTTACATTCCTCTTATTTGCGTCGATTTGATATCCTTTGCTGACGCCATAGTCAGCATTCGGCCAATAGACCGATCCCACGAAGCGTTCCACGCATGCGTGACGCCGCCATAACTGTAGTTCGTAGGAGGCAGACGCCAGTTCATGCGACAGCTCGTGCTGCCTCGTGGTCTGCTCGCGCAAACCTCCAGCAGGGTTGTCGCGCGTGCAGAAAGACTACAGCTCCCACGATGCATATCGGCAGCGGTGGCGTACTCAAACTAGTTGGTGAGGTCGGTCTATTGTGATGGGCCGATCACGTCGCCAATAGTCGCCTTTCGATCGCTCACGTCGCCAATAGTAACTGCCAGGTAACTGTAGCGCATTCTATGAAATACATCTGTATTGAAGGACAGCGTCCAGATGGCGCTGTATCGTACCCTTATGGAATACAGAGTTTTCAAACGAAGCTCTAAATGGCGCCTAAAACGGCGGGAGGCGAACTAAGGGCGGGTCAGGGCGGGTGAATATCTGTATGCGCTGCTGCTGAGCGCGTGCCGACAGCAAACTTCCGCAGTTCTTTTGCAGCGTACATTCCGCACCACCAAAATTGCCGGTCTTAGCAGGCTATTAATGTGAGCTCGTTCAGAGCATGCGCTCTAAGCATCACCTTCAATATGTCGTCCAGTGACATTGTATAAACCTTTCTTACTTTTTCGGGGCACCTTTGCTCATGAAGATTCCATGCCAAGGGACCAAAACAAAGTAGTGACAGTGCGCGTTTCAAAGCAGTCTGCTGTAGATTTCACACTAAGCTGTGCCGGTAAACAAAATAAAACGGGAAGGGTCTTCGTTGACACTTACCATCCATGTCCACTGGTCTGGGTTGGCGTTTTCTCCGCCGACGATTCTCTTGTTCAGGTTAGGTGTACCGCAAGCTAAACAAAAAAAAAAGAGGACAGGCTACTTTTTTGGAAGTCGCTTATAAAATATTTATTGTGTTTCGAAATAAGCTATTTCCCCTGCCCCACGGTTAAATTAGCCGTCTCAATGGCTCCTACTCAACGCTCCGGCCTTGGAGATGCACAGGTGGCGGGTTCGAATCCCGGCCGACGTGCCCGCCATCTGACGGAGGCTTATTGGGGAGGAGGCTCCGTGATTCCGATATTTCAGTTTTACTTCGAAAGATCCGCCAGGGGGTCAAAAATAATCCTCAATCCTCCACTGGGGCGTACCAGATGCCCTTCATTGCTTTGAGACGTAAGACCCTAATTTTTACTTTGACACGGTAAAATGTAATGTCCTATAGAAGGTTATTATCTGACCCACCAATCAGCTCGCGCCAGTCCTGGGGCAGCGCAATGCACATCCAACGCTTGTAGTCTAGATCGAGAGCTGACTTGCCGATCATTGAATGACATTCGATAGAAATAACATTAAATTTCCAGTGGTGGCTGAGGTGTGAAACACTGAATTTGTGTATTGCATTCAATTATTCACCTAGCGTAAGCTCTCGCTAAGGTGCTCAAAGTCAAAGTGAAGAACATTTTCTAAACAATACTCATGCTCAGGGGGCTACTCTTTTGTGTCCTAAGCAAGATGGAATAGAAAGAGTAAAAAGCGCGGCGTTTTTTTTAAATATTGTTATCTGTCTGAACATACGCATATTAAACCTCATTGTATAAAGAGGCTCCTTTTTTTTGAGGGGGGGGGGGGGGGGTGGGGGGCGACCCTCATTTGTTTCAAGGTGGCAAAGGTATATTTATTAAAATATACTTAAGGCAAATTTTAAATCCAACGAGATTTTTGTTCCTTGCCACTTGTGAGTTTATCGATTCTAATGTACAAAGGTATTGATTTTATGCTCAGAAAAAGAAAGATAATTTCACGAATGACACAAAATATCTTAAAAGTTTTACAATGACTTAAAATTATCCAGACAAATCTCATCGTTTTGGACATCAACGCCTTAAAACCATGCACTAAAATCATAATTTTAACTGAACAAGCACACACCACTCAATGTTACCCAGGAATAGTTTAGATGGCAGTCATAAAAAATAATATTAAGCAGTAATTAAACTTTTGGACGCGTCTAGTTTTTTATTCGACGGTTCTACAAAGTTTTGTTTGCTTTGCATCTTCTACGACATTCAAAAATTATTAATTTCTGCTTTTCTTGAAAAAATATCGTTATGTTCCCAAGGACTGTAACTGTCTGGGTGTCATAAAACGCAAATCAACAAGAATTTTTATATTTCCCTGAAAAATTATCATTCCACGGAATGTTCCAAAATATTAATAATGATTTCATAAAAAAAAATGAAAGCCGTTTACAACTCCCTGTAACGCCGAATTTGAGCGCAGCTCTTGAGGAGGAGGAGGGAAGGGTACTGGGGGGATCAGTTGACCTCGGAAGGGAGGGGGTCACGTGACCTCGGGGGTCACGTGACCTGGGAGATCGCGTGACCTCGGGGAGAGGGGTCACGTGACGATGACGTCTTTAGAGATGCCGATGACGATGCGGATGCCGATGACGTCATCCGTGACTATGACGATGGCGATTACGTCATTGGCATCCGCATCGCCATCGTCATCATGAGTGATGACGTCATCAGTGACGTCACTGATGACGTCATCGTCATCATCACTGATGACGTCATCGTCACGTGACCCCCCAGGTCACGTGACCCTCCCCTAGGTCCTCCCGAAGGAACCCGAGGTCCTCCCGAAGGAGCCCGAGGTCCTCCCGAGGTCCTCCCGAAGGAACCCGAGGTCCTTCCGAGGTCCTTCCGAAGGAACCCGAGGTGCTTCCGAGGTCCTCCCGAAGAAACCCGAGGTGCTTCCGAGGTCCTCCCGAAAGAACCCGAGGTCCTGGAGGGGTCACGTGACGATGACGTCATCAGTTATGATGACGATGACGATGCGGATGCCGATGAAGTCATTGGCATTCGCATCGCCATCGTCATCGTCACTGATGACGTCATCAGTGAAGTCCTGCCGATGACGACATCAGTGACGTCACTGATGACGTCATCGTCACGTGACCCCCCCAGGTCACGTGGCCCCCCCCCCTAAGTCCTCCCGAAGGAACCCGAGGTCCTCCCAAGGTCCTCCCGAAGGAACCCGAGGTCCTTCCCAGGTCCTCCCGAAGGAACCCGAGGTCCTTCCGAGGTCCTTCCGAAGAAACCCGTGGTGCTTCCGAGGTCCTCCCGAAGGAGCCCGAGGTCCTGGGGGGTCACGTGACGATGACGTCATCAGTGATGATGACGATGACGATGCGGATACCGATAAAGTCATTGGCATCCGCATCGCCATCGTCATCGTCACTGATGACGTCATCAGTGACGTCACTGATGACGTCATTGGCATCCGCATCGTCATCGTCACTGATGACGTCATCATCACGTGACCCCCCCTAGGTCCTCCCGAAGGAACCCGAGGTCCTCCCGAAGGAGCCCGAGGTCCTCCCGAGGCCCTCCCGAAGGAACCCGAGGTCCTCCCGAGGTCCTCCCGAAGGACCTCGGGTTCCTTCGGGAGGACCTCGGGAGGACCTCGGGTTCCTTCGGGAAAATTTACCCATAATGCACCGCGCGGTTACGCCGACGGCGACGGCGACGGCGACGGCGACGGCGACGCCGACGCCGCTCAAGCCGGAAACAGGCGCCTAAGAGCTGCGCTCTAAAAATCTATAATTCTTTTGCCTTACTCTGACCTCCGAACGCAGATTGTCGGTATGTGCAACATTTTCTTCATTAAGCTGAATATGTATTTTCTTTCTTTTACTCTGTTCCCCAATACTCCATGGAAACCCTCAAACTTTGTACTTTAATTATCTTGTAATGGGTCGCAAAAAAATTTAGTCCCAAATTAACATAAAAAACAAATATCAGGTGGAAATATTACTTCATCAGACATGCTTCATGGTAATAGTTCAAATAAAATTTATAATACGTCTCAAATAATATTTTGATATTATATAGTTGATTACCGTGGCAATTCAGGCACTCACCTTACACTGTTCAACAATACACGAACATTATTCGTGCTTGGAGATGGCCTTGTAAGTTAACAAAAAATAAAAACACAAATTTCAGCTTTTCTTTTTGAACTTTGTGACTTAAATTGTCGGGTGGTTTTTCAGCCGATGTTGCAAACGCAAACTATGAGGTTTAAAATAAGGTTTTGTGTTTTCGTTTTTTTTATATATATTATGTGTATTTTTTTTTTCTCCTTTGTGCGCCAGACATACACTTGCTTTTTAATAGGGGTTATGATAATGAAAGCCAGACACGGCCACGTTATTCCCCCGTTCAAAAACACGGGGGTGACCCCGAGTACCTGAAAAACGTCCCGGTAGCGATAGAAGAAAGAGACAAGATAAGTGTTGTGAACCCCGGAGAAAGTCGCTTCGTTCACAGCTCATTGAGAATGATGTTATGTTTATTGGCGATTTTCATCGCGTCTTTTTAACCAACTTTCACGGCTCTTTCTTTTAGACCATCAGTCGCTGGGAATATCTGATTCTATTGAAAAGGCTGGAGAGCGTACGTGCCACCAAGACGTTCTTTCGTAGCCGCTACTTGTGGTCGATTTCGCTTGAGTCGACAGTACACAAAATAAAGCTGTAGATAAAAATTTGCCCCCGTAAAGCCTAGACCTCTTCTTACGCATAAACAGCTCCAGTTTGGAGTTTCCCTGTGTTCCCTTGTTCTGAAAAAGTGTGCTCGTGGTTTAATTTTCAAAGTCTATCAGTATTTATCAAAAGCAAGGAACCCTATAGACAAATGAATAATTTGAGGTGAATTTCTGAAGGCCCCACAGCAGTGTTGTAGACATTACCAAAGAAAAATAACGAATCACGTTACTCGTTATTTACAAGTAAAAGAAAACTGCTATTGACCTACGTTGCATACAAATAAAAGGAACCCGGAACCATTTGCATTACAGATGAAAAGTAACGCAATTTACTTTTAGACTGCGCCCATCCACCCTGCCTACCATTGACGGCGGCAGAGTGTTTCGACACTGAGACAAAAGACGTGGGCGTTGGGTTTCTTTCTAAAGTGGAAGCGGTAATGTAGAAAAAAAAATAGGCAAAGTTTTGAATATATTTGGTACGAGTTCAAGAATTCACAACATCTAACGCCAAGAAATACGAAAAAACTTTACTGTTTTAAATCTTGGGAACAAGATGTAACGAGTAACCTAACTACGTTAAACGTTAGTCGAAACAAGTAACGTAAGTACGTTATACGTCACTGTTTTGAAACCTAACGAGTTCGTTATCTGTTTCTTTTTTTTTTATGTAACGAGTACGTTATTTGTTACCTATAAAAGTAGCTCGTTACCGTCAACACTGCGCCACAGTGATGATTCAATTCCCGCGACATGTAAGCTTGACAATCTGATTGATCGTTTCCGCCTCATTCTGGCTTAGAACGGCAACTCGCCTGACAAAATGCGGTTGGGGCGCGACTGCTTACTTGCACTGAGGCTGACCAGGTCCGGCGGCATCGGTCTAGCCGTGGTCCTCTTGGTCAGGGAATGGGAATCTGCCCCCACCTGGTGCACTATCACCATGCAGCCGTCGTTGACGTGACTGCTCGGAGGGGACTTCACCTGCCTCTCCCGCCTTACCAGCGCCCTCTCCTGAGGCTGCACGTGAAAAGACGAGAAGCCACTTTACAAAGGGAAACTGAAGGAGAGGAGGAGATGAGAGTGAGTGGTGACGTTAGAGCGCCGAGCTCGGATTGAAAAGAGAGTGGGTAGACAGGAAGGCTATACATGCCCCCTTCTCTGCCCGCTCTCTCCGTCTAATCAGTGCGAGCAAGAGCGTCGTCTGCTTCTGCGAATGGTCTGTCGCTCGAGCGTCGAAAGCCGAATGGCAGACCCCAATCGAGAAGCAGGCAACGCACACACGCACATACGCGCCCATGCACGCACGCACGTACACATACGCGCATAAACACAACCACCCGCACACTACACGCACGTACAGTGCTAATCACACTTGTTTATAACGCGCGAGCGTGCGGCTTTCTCCGGGGAGCGCTAGACTGGTGGCATTCGCGGAGACTAAGCTAGTCACGTAGGGCAACATGGAACGGCCCGCTCGAGGGGTGCCCTGCTCACTCTATCAGCTTGATAAGCGATAAAAGTGAAGTGCTTTGTGATATATTTTTGTTTTTTGATGACGAGATCGTTGATACGCCTTCATGCTTTAGTTTGTTTATTGTACGAGCAATGATGTTTGTAAAAAGCGTGCGAGCAGCCTTCCGCGTTCGCCGCCAGCTGATAGAGTGGCCAGGACACCTCTCGAGCGGGCCGTTCCATGTTGCGCCACGTGACTAGCTTAGTTTCCGCGAATGCTAACAGTCTAGCGCTCCCTGGAGAAAGCCGCACTCTCGCGCTTTATAGACAAGTGTGATTAGCACTGAACGTAGGCCGGCAGGCACACACACATTCGCCAAAACACGCGCTCACACAAACGCACACATACACATATACACGCGCGCACGCACGCACACATACATTCGTGCGCGCGTGCACACGCGCTCAGTGTATCAACTAAGCCGTGTTTTGCTTCTTTTCCTCCTGTGGGAGGATTATTCCCGGAGAAACAGGGTGAAAGCTTGTGAAACTTTGACTGCGTTTTTGATTGAGAAGTGCGGAACAGATGCATACCATTCGCGGCATTATTTTTTTTTTATAATTTAGCACCTTAAAAATATAAGGACTGAAAGTTTTTCGGCGCACATTTAAACTGTCAGTGATTACAACTCGAACGATATAGAAGCCCAAATGTTAAAGGTATTACTAGTGTTCATGAGGAAACCTTCTAAATTAATATCTAGTAAAATAAAATCACACACAAAAAGATATGTCAACCTGAAATGCAGTACACGCGCAGAAAGAGGAATATAAAGTAGTAAGCACCCTCACTGTTCCCAACCTTCTGATTCCTTTCTTGTTCTCCGACCGTATCCTCGTCGCTGTCTTTGGTTTCGATGACCGGGCTGGGAAAAGCGTTCGACCGACTCCCATTTACGTACGGTTCTGGGCAACACACCCCCATGAGGTAACCATCCACAGCACACGCATACTTTAAGAAAGTCGCTAGGTTTTCGGTCACATTCGGAAACATGCATAGTCTCAGAGTGACGCAGCGTCCACTGCCTGAACTAGGTGTGGCGCAGACCTCGGATTTCTCCAAATCATAAGGCCCGTCGAACGAGTGGCGAAGCTTATCCACAAACTTGTCGATGACTTCTTGACGATGGAAAACACTTTCGCTCGTAGGGATGACGCCATCGCTGTGTGTAGGGCTCAGAGACCCATGAACGCTGTCCAACATTTCTGAAAAAAAAAAAGTTATAAAACAAAATTGCGCATTCAGTAAATTGCCTCCGTCGATAGGCGCGTGTGAGAATCATTTGCCTCTACCATACGTGCAATCTACAGGCAGTTTATTGGCAAATTACGTGCATCCTTGTCCTGCAAGCGGGAATCTGAAAGGGTGATTCCATTGCCCGTCTTTGTTGCCGCTACCCTTGAAAGAACCTCGCACAATCACCTATGGAAATTTCCCGCTTACCGACAGTGTCTGAAAACAAAACTGTCGAGACCTTCGTTCCACGTGTAAGCGAACCTGCCTTGCAGCACTACTCTAAATCGGCCTTGAAACACTGGGTATTGCAAACTTCTTTGATTTATGTGACGTTATTTTTTTTTTTAATAAAAGTTTAATACGAGCGATATGGGGATGAATGTCCCGCTTGTATTTTGTTTTGTGCATTTGATTTCCCGTCTTTTAGAAGCTCGTTTTTTACGTGGGTGACTTTGAGCTACAGCCAATTGATTGGTTTTTAATTTCTTCTTAATTTAGAATATTATTTTATTACTTCGCCAATCAAATGATAAAAAAATATATTGTAATAGTTCAACGCTTTTTAACAATATTTGTCACCGGGAATATACCTATTTAGAGATTCTGAGACGAACAAAGAAGCCTTACATATATTTTTCTCTGAAATAAACTGTTAGGTTTCGCGATGTCAAAAGAAAATTATAAAAATTATGATTCTATGTTTAAGCCATCACATGAGTCGGAGGCTCGCAAACTTTCGGAGGCATAGCAGGGCTTAGCCAATGACACTAACGAATCTTTTTGTATAATTGTGCTTCTATCTTGGAGTTTGTACGTCTTTACGGAAACAAATTACTGTTTCTCATTGCGTTTTCTTATTTGTATCCCACCAGCGCGAGACTTTTTCCATTGCGATCAATTAACAACGAATATTCTCCTCCTGCGTCTGTGAATTCTGGAGTTCCTCAAGGGTCAGTTTTAGGCCCACTACTATTTTTAATCTATATTAACGATCTTCCCATTAATGTGTCTTCATCCGTTTGTCTCTTTGCCGATGACTGTGTAATTTACCGTGAAATCTGTCACGATTCTGACCTGTCTACACTTCAGTCTGATATTAACTCTGTCTCTCGTTGGTGTGAATTATGGCTAATGAAACTAAACACTAGTAAATGTAAACAGATGAGAGTGTCCCGCAAGCCTAACAACAGTCCCTGTTACCACCTAGATGGCAACCTTTTGGAGCAAGTGGCAACGTACAAGTACCTTGGTGTTCACTTAACAAATAACCTTTCATGGAAACCCCACATTCAGTATGTTACTACCCGTGCTAACTGCATGTTGGGCTACTTAAAACGCAACTTTTCATTGGCACCTATTTCACTAAAATTGATCCTCTACGAAACATTAATCAGGCCTAAATTAGAATATGCAGCCTCCATCTGGGATCCCGTTCACGATACTCTAATCACTGCATTGGAATCCATTCAGAATAGGTCAGCCCGTTTCATTCTTTCCAACTACCATCGTACTGCTAGTGTCACATCAATGAAAAATAGTTTATGTTTACCACTTCTCTCCTTGCGACGTAAAATTTCACGCCTATGTCTATTTCATAAAATGTATTTTCATAACCCTCTCCTACGCAAACGGATGATTACTCCCCCCTTTTACATTTCATCCCGTCTTGACCATCAGCATAAAGTTGGAGTTCCAAGTTCGTTTACCACAACATTTCAATCTTCTTTTTTACCCCGCACAGCCGAAGAATGGAACCACCTCCCCGGCTTGATTGCTACTATAACTGATACTAACTTGTTTAGAAATTCCATCATTAGCTATATTAGCAGTGACCTATGGCCTATTATTATTATTATTCTTTGTTTGTTGTATATTTAATATTGTTGACTTGTTACTATATTACTATCTTTGTTTCATGTATGTGCTCTCCCCCTCTGTAATGCCTTCGGGCCCTAAAGGTACTTTCAATAAATAAAAAAAAAATACCTTGCAAATTTTGGCTGTACGTAAAATTGGATGTTACAGGCGATCGAGCAGCTTCCACAAAGAAGGTAGGAAAACTCAAACAGACTACGCGTTCGGGTTTCTCGCCCATTTCAGGCTCGTGCAGATAACTTTATAAAAAAAAATTATACTAGAAAACAAAAAACACGAAGAGGAATAAATACAGTTATGATAGTTAGTTAGTCCCCCTCCCCCTTCGCTTACCCCCCATGGTACGTGTCTATTAAATTAAGCTGGTTAAGGTGGTCTGTATCGTGAAACAAAACTAAGTGAGCCTTCAGTGCCTTCTGTCAAAAATTATATTTGACTGTCAACTCATACTTTTCAAAGTTACGTATATATAGGTGAGATGATTCGCGTTCTAGTAGTACATATACAAATAACATGTTAAATGTTTTCTCACTCTTAACCAGACAAACACAGGATCCCTTACCAACTCAATGGATGCCTTATGAAATCGCTATTTTGGTAGCGTACCTTATAATTGTAATATTTTTATAAGCTGCATGCCAGCAGTTATGTCGGTGGTTAAGCGTGTTGGTTTCTAATTTATGATATGGAACGATGGACATTATATAGTGAAACTATATAAATGCAGCTTGATAAACGCCAGGCCCTGCATACATGCACTAATGCGGGGTCATATTGCTCATACATCATGCAAAACAGTGTGCAAACACGAGTCAACACAAGATGTAGCTTCTCCGTCCTCGTCTGTTTTTCGCGCTGTTTCCTAAGAGAAAAACTGCTTTGCTGGATTTGGCTCGCAAAACTAAAAGCGGTGTGCACGGTATACGGAGCTTGCTTGCGGAGCCGATGCACACGGCTCCGCACGCAAGAGAAATACTGTACACCTTCTCTCTCGTGCAGGGCTGGAAGCGATGCGCGTGTTTTTTGTTTTTTTTTTTTGTTTTTTTTTGTTTTGTTTTTTTGTGGACGTGGGTGGAGGTCCTGAGTTGATGACTTGTCTTGCACATGCCTCCCAATTTAAATTTACGTGTGAAGAGAACTCTAGTGCCGAATCGATGTTCAAGCGAGCGCAATCGGCGTGCCGTATTGTGGGAGTAAGAGATGCACGCGGGGCGGGAAGACCGGGATCCAGAGGGGGCCTCCTATGAACGTTTCCTAGGCTGCAGAATGAGTTTCTTGCTGATGTTCTCCTAGGAGGTCCACCGAATAACCCACCCTCCGGAGCCTGGTGGCCTGCAGCGACAGGCTCCCTCCGATCATGTGACAGCAGGACTTTTTGCAAAAGGAGGAAAGGAGAGACTGACCAATTTGGGACCTAACGGTTTTGAATGATGGCTAGAAGAACGGGGGGGGGGGGGGGGGGGGGGGGGGTACAGGTTTCTGGGAGTGCTGTTGAAAAGACCAGCATAGGCCATGAGATGAGTGGCTAAGTCGAAGATCGGGAAATTGTAGACCCTTCTGAGTGGGGTCTTCTTTTGTGGAGGTGATGCCGCTGGCGTTAGTTTTGAGTGCTTGAAGGATGGAAGCATCTAAAATAAGGACAGGATGAAGAACGAGGTAGTCGTCAACATGGATAAATATGCAGTATGAAGAACGAGGCACCGGTCAGACGGGGCGCTGCGTGAATGACGGTTTCCGTGAGCACGCCAAGGAGGTCTTGCCTCCTTCCCCGGACACCTTCCATCCAGTCGTGGCTAACGCCAATAACTGTCCTTCGTGCACCCTGAGTTTTGGGAAAACAAAATTCTCGAAGAGCACAGATCTTCATTAGGCAGGGGAATCCTTGAGACTCTACACATTAAATCGTGTCTAGAACCTGTCCAGCCCTTCCCTTCCTTTTCCGGATTGGGAGATCAGGTTCTTGCGAGGCGAGAGGGCTCCTCCAAAGACACAAGAAAGGCAAAATTATCATCTTTTTTTTTTTTTCTTCTTTCTTGCAGCGAGTCCCACCCCCCTCTTCCCTTCCTTCCTAACGGAGGCACCACCTCACTCAGGGCTCCATGTAACGGTGAAGTGTCAAACGACCCACAGCAGACCCCCACCTTCCGTCGTATACGCATAGCTGCTGGCAGGGCCGCGTGGCTCCCGCTTCTCTCACCCACCACCCTCCATTTTTTCCTCCCCAACACTCCTACGCCGAGCTTCGGGAGGCGAAGTGAAAGCAGTAAACGTTTTGTTGCAAGTCGAAAACCTGTGTTGTCGATTTGTCCTCCCTATCTCTGTTTCGCTGTCGTAAATTAAACACCAACACGCTTAACCATCTACACGTACTTTTTCTTTCGTTTTGTCAAGATTAATTTCTTTTCGGCTTGCTCTATATTCTAGAATATCTTCAATTTTGTTGGTTCCCTGCATATATTTAGTGCCTCACTTGAGAGAATGTTTCAACGCACTGAATACCTAGTCTTTGTAGAGCGGTCATACACAGGTAATAAAACGGTGAAACCACGTATCGCCTACTTTATAAAAAGTGACTACCACCTACACATTTTAGAAGACACGGCAAAACATTACAATAGTCAAAGAATTCCAATAATTTATAAGGCCCATAAAACATTTCTAGAAAATGTATAGCCTATGCAGGATGAGCAACAGCAACATTTCAGGTAAAAAATCGGGTTCAGGCACACACCACGTTTCTTCTTGATCGTAGAGTTAGCTATGCCTCATTGGCCACCTTCTTTAATAGCCCACGTCCTTGTTCCCGAAGAAAGTTAAGGAGATCACATTATTCACAGTTTATGTGCGAATACAGATGATTTTCCGATTTGTGAGCCACTAACGCTGTTCAAACCAGGGCTCCCGATATAGCGAAATGAGATTTCCAACGTAATGATTCTGGAAGTTGCCTTTCCAATTACATGAACATTCATGGCCTACAAATAGCACCAAAGCAAAATGATCACTCCTACGCTATGGTATCAGCATATAAAAGCTACAAGGTTTTGTAGTGCAATGTACACCATTGCGGTGCATTTTTTTATTGATTGTATTACATTTTGTTCTAGTGCATGCTGCTGAGAAATAGAAGTATGGTACAGTCATATCTCGTTTATATGAACCCCGTTAATATACCGCACTAAACGGACACAATTTTCGGGAACAAACTGGGAAAATACTTGCCTTTTTTGTCTCGTCATTATGAACAACTCACATTATGAATGATGTTTTGGCGGAACGGAAATGTTCATATTAACGATACATCACTGTAATACAAAGCCAATTTTAGGAGCACTGAGATGTAGGGGATGGCAAAATGCTTATTATATGAGCCATAGCCCTTACTGGCGAGGCATCGCAGTGAATGCCGACTGTGTTTCGTGTACGTATGCCGCTAAATTCAGCGGGAAAATGTATTTGCTAAATTTATCGGGGAAATAGTGTCATGACATTGTAACGTCACAGTGTCGCGTGACGTCATGTCACGTGACGTCACAATTTCGCGGAGTAATGTTTTCCGCTAAATTCAGTGCAAAACTTTATTCGCGAAATTTAGGACGAAAATTTCTCCGCTAAACTTCGCGGGAATTTAGTGTCACTTGACGTCACTTGATGTCAGTGTCACATGATGTCATAAAATTACAAGACTTCATGGTATTATATAAAGACCATTCGCTAAATTTTAACGGAACTTAAGTACGCTAAGTATTTATTTACTTACTTATTTATTCACCCTCAGGGTCAAAAGTGTTAGAAGGAAGTAGTTTTTTTTTTTTTTTTTAATACATAGGAAAACCTTTTAACAGCATTGAGAATTAAATTACTGCTAAGTGAAGTATTACAGGTTAATACGGGTTAGTACAGGTTAATCAAGGCATTTCTAAAGCTCTGAATGTAACAGTTTCGCCAAAAGGCATGGGAAGGTGATCCCAATTTAAAGAGGTTTTGGGAATAAAAGAATATTATGCGTTTGCCCCACATGTTGCTTGAGGGATGAGTTGTAATGATAAATTTTATAAAACAAACATAAGCGGGAAACTTTCCTATGCAGTGAAAGAATTGGTAACGATAAATTGGTTTCCATTGTGGTTCGCTGGCGGTACGATGATAACTAGAAAGAATAAGGATGGTTGTACAATCCGGAACAGATTCCAATTCTAAAATTAGTGAGTCGAGACTGGGGTACCCCGATAGATGCAGCATATTCCAGCTACTGGGAACAAGGGTTTTGTACAGGAGTAGTTTCAACGACGTGCAAGGAAAAAAGTTTCTGTTAAGGTAATCAAGCATGTGATTAACGTTGTTAATTATATATTCTACATGAGTTCTTCGTTACAAATCACACATTATATGTACATCCAGATACATGTAAGATACAAATTCAAGAGGAATGATGATATCCATGGAGTGAACGGAATGTTACGTGTTACGACAGGCCACACGCATGTGTTTACATTTTGGAGTATTTAATTCTATGCACCACGTGTTACACTATTCAGAGGTAGAGTTAACATCAAACTAGAGGACAGATATACCAGAGTCCATTGTCAATTTCACAATAAATAAAACAGTCATCTGCGAACAAACGCACGGATGAACATAAATTGTTAGATAGGTCGTTAATATAGATTCGAAAAAGAAGGAACCCCAGAACAGAGCCCTGGAGAACACTTGAAGTTACTAGAGAAGGTTGAGAGTCAACATCATTAACATTAACAAACTGCGATCGCTTAGTAAAAGACGAGCGTAACCAAGCAATGACGTTGTAGTCTAAGTTAAGTTTGTTCAGCTTTTCAATAAGGCGGGAGTGAGCGACCTTGCAAAAGCTTTGGAAAAATCGAGAAATACGTAGCTGGGAGCCGCGGTCAAGAATGAAGTGAAGATTGTGGGTAAAGCACAACAGCAGCGTTTAACAAGAAAATGATTTCCGAAAGCCATGCTGACCTAAACTAAAGAAAAAATTAGAGCCTAAACAAATTAGCGCGGCAACTCTACAAGAGTTTGCACGGCTTAGGCTGTCGCCGCAGTTCGTTTGCAGCGCAAGGAACCGGGAATTTATTATAGTTCCCTAGCGAGATTAATGTGCTTATAGGTCGGAAGGCTTTCGGTGAGCTTGAGTTGAATGAGAAAATCAAGTGTCATCAAACTCAGTGCGCTTCAGTTTTGATTGGTGCAAACAGAACATTTTTCTCCGTCGTATCGGCCGTGAGCGTCTGCGCGCTCGAATGAAAGTTCACTGGCCTCGACATCCGCTTGCGACTGGAGGGTGTCGTTGGATACGATTCTATGAAATACCTTCTCACACATTAGGAAGTTTTTGTATATCGTTTTCAAAGGCACGCTATCGCTACGGGCGCACGATTCAGAGCATACATCGAAGTGGCAACGCGAGCTCCCGCTACAAATAGCGTGGACTGAAAACACGACCTACTAAAACTCTCTGTTAAGGTACCGCAGTTGGTTAGCGCCGCTTATCTTCACCTGCGTGGAGCCAGCTGTAGATTTGGCACCGCCCACTTCGGCCCAAATAGTTGAAGTGTACCTCGATTGCCGACAAACTCGTAGAGATTCTAAGCGACGCTAAGCCAACGTAGTTCTTGTTTCGCGCTTGTATTGCGATGCACGGAGATTAGAAAGAGCGCTCAAGCGCTCACTGACCTCATGTTGAAGTAAACAGACTCTCATAATATACACGAGCAGGCTCAAAGACCACTTAAGAATGCAACTCTGGTCAAAATTCAAACCAAAAATAAATGACTGATATCGATTTACGGAGGCTAAATACCAGTACTGCGAAAATATTACACTATGGGGGAGAACCGCGATCCACTTTAAAACCGATATTAAGAATGCTACCACACGCTTCTCATAGAAAGTTCGACGGGTTGGGTGTTTGTCAAGCAACCTTGTGCCCCGATGTCGTCATGTTCGTACTCGAGGAGGTTTGTTGATCGTATACTAACACTTCTTTCGCCATTTCTTTTCTTTTTTTTTTTCTACTACGTTTTTAGTTGTTTTACCGAACGATTTCTGCTTGATATATTACGAACTTTTAGACCGTAAACTAGAGCTCCGCTTTGCTAGCGGGAGCTCGTGCCGTCACTTTGAATCATGGATTGAGCGCGCGCCCGCTGGGTCCGCTTTTCGCCGAATAGACCTTTCCAAAAAAGGGATCCTGGCCGGTACCTTTTTCAGTGTTCGTGTGTATGGCACGTCATTTGCTCGCTTTCCAAAGCGACGACCATGCGCGTGTAGGGTTGAGGAGATCGCAAGCTGGGCTGAGGACTTGAAAATATTGAAATGTTGTATACGATATACTAAACTCTCCATTATGTTTTAGCGGACGTTGTTTGTAAGTGCTGCTCAGCATTCGCACACGAAGATTATTAAATTCCTGCTCGCTCAAGCGCGTTGTTGTGGGAAAGGTGGCATTCGCTGGCGGCGACAGTTTAATTCGTTCCTGATCAGCGCGAGCTTGCGATTGGCTCCCACGACGCTTCTGCAACGTGCATTGTACAAAACCAAGATTGTAGTTCTTTTCAGAAGATGAGCGGGTGCTCGTTCTGAACCTGCGCTAAGCCTGCGTTCATCGTGGCAAACTTGCTTTTCAGCCGACAACTTTATGAATATGTATTGATATTTGCTACGTAAGTTTCATGTCTACGAAGCAAAGCAGTAAAACAGCCGTAGCATATCACCTGACTGGTCAGAACTGGCCATGCAGCTGATCACAAGGGTTGCCATCGAGCTTGAGCCGGTAGTTTAGATTTCGCCTTAGACCCCCTTAACAAAGCCTTTGAGATAAGTTATTTAGAAAACTACACAAGGCGTTGAAAACAAAATAACACCTGGTAATTCAAGGGCACTTCCTTCACTAAAAACAGTCGTAATCCTAAAATCAAGATTTCGCGACCTGTTGATTGCCCCCGCACTGTTACTGTGGATACCGATTTAGAGTTCAATAGAGTATGGTCGGTGTCATATCAGACAGTACTTGTGTGAACGTTCAAAAAGCATCCGTGAAGCCTTAGGACATCTTAAGGACGTCCGCCGAACCGCCTGTGCTGCCAGTGATATCTCAAGTGAACACCACGACCCGTTCGTTAACAACCACAGTAAAACAAAAAATCCAGAAAAACAAACTTCGTTTGCGCACGCATGACACGGAATGTAGACGCAGGCACATCCTACCAGGAGCGTGTTGGAGCTTGTTCTGCAGGGCGAGCGCATCTCCAGCGGTCGCGCAGCTTCCGAGCATCCAAAGGGCGGTCACGAGACCGAGCGACGTCGCGCGAGCCAGCATGGTAACCCTGAGTTCCTTGTCCGGTCACCTGGTCTCCGAAGCGTCAACGGAGCGAGTCGTGGTGCGCATCGCAGCCTGCCGGTACCTCGATTCGAACTGGCTTGCCTGGCGGCTTCCGACGACCGGTCAAGTTGCCTCCGAAGTACGGGCTGGAAGTCTCGCTCCCTCAAGGCCGATAAAAATAATTTTATCTCGGCGTTTCACGACGCTGAGTTTCCTCCGCGTCCTCCTTCCTGCGACGCCCACGTGGGTTACACCCCGAGGCTCGCTCGCTGGTTGCCCTCCGGTTGCGCGCAAACACACGCAACGGGCGAGGACGGGTGTCCTCCACGCTGGCTTCCTCTCGGGAAGTCGCGGAAATATCGACGTCACCGGAGCCCGATAAGGCGCACTTTTGTCTTTTTTGATTCTCAATTTTCTTCATCAATTATGGTCACGGCGAAGGCTGTTTTCGCACCCGACAAAGATCCAGCAGCGCTTTCGACACTTGCGCGCTTGGTATCGGAGTAAACTATGACCAGCATGTTTTTCTACTAAGAGTAATCTCACGTACGAGCATGCCGGCTTTGTACACTTTGAAGGCTTTGTTTTTAAAAATGTATATGCTATACATTTTCTAAACAAGAAATTATGAAACCCCCTATGCCCAGAAATTGGTCCATCCATCCGTACCCCCCTCCGTCAGAGCACACCCCATGGCAGGACATCTCAGCACGACCGGTTTTCTTACCATGCCAACATAATCAAAACATTAAACCCAAGCACTTCCTTCGAGTTAAACCAATATATAATAACCCGTAATCAACCCGAGAATATCTTAGCCCGCAGCCTGATCATCCAACTTTGCGCCAACACGATGGCCTTCAACGTGCAACGGCTGAAGTGCATCTCCTACTCCAGTTACCACTCGCCAATACCCTCCATGGGGCATGATGATGTTGTCGAGTAGGGTAACTGCAATTAATAAACAATCCCTTTCAAGGATTGCAGTATCAATAAATAAATAAATATGTTTCTTCTTATTTCGTGAAACAACTCTTTAATTTTCTTTCACCAAACTTAAAAACATTTTTACGTAAGGCATTTCGTGAATTGCAGGACTTCAAAGATAAAGGTCGACGCCCTTTTTTTTATTTGTTATTCTTTGATCCGCGCACCTGTTCTAAAGGTGGCAGTTGTATTAAAATAATTTATTACAATGTAAAAATACAGTAATGAAAAATGATTATTTGGTAACACCTTCTCGTTTTACTTTTCTCTTCAGAATATTTTTTTAATATTAAAATGGTGCATGAAAAAAACGGTGAATACTGTCTAATGAACCTCCAAGCGGCGGCGTGTATGGAAGCAGCAACAGTTTACTTTAACCCTTATTTCATTTTATTTAAAAACTTCAACTCACCGAATTCACGAAACTGTAAAATTTATTAAATGGAGACTATTTATTTTTATATTCTATAAAAAAAAATAAAACACTGCTTGCTTAGATTAAATTAGATTTTAATTCCACGGATAACGTTTAGTTCTCAATTGGATGTTCGCAATTGACGAAGATAATACGGAGAGCAAATGTTTTAAAACGCGTCTTTGAAGCATCGTAGCGCAAGTGAGTGAACACCAGTCAAAGGGCAATGTGGGCACGGCAACTCTGCCGTGAGTGCTTCAACTCGCATGACTACTGCAATTCTCGTCCAGGTGCTGCTTCTGATCGGCATCGCGCAACCGGCGATCGCGAGACCACCGCAGCCGGAACTTCCCGTGGCTGCAAGCAACGCCACCCTGCTGTCTCGCATCGTCAACCTCCGCCACGTGTTGGAAGATAAAGCGACAACTACGACCAATCACCAACAAGGAGTGCCGACAGTTTGATCCTTCATGGTTCAATAAAAGCTAATATCTGTCCCTGCCGGGCTTCAGTGGGCACGGCAACTCTGCCCTGAGTGCTTCAACTGTCATGACTACTGCAATTCTCGTCCAGGTTAGTGATGATAAAGGTTATCGTAGCAATTTTGTTCGATTGATTGTCTTGCCGTGCCCCCTAGTGTTGTTGCAATGCATATGTTAATGCTTTGCCGTTAGTAGATTGCTTCTGGGACTATTTGGTGATGTTGAATTAAACCCGGGCCCCGATAAGACGGTGGAAATACTACAAGAAATACTGGAAAACCAGAAAGAAATCGCAAATGACATAAAAGAACTGAGATCTAATGACCAAAACATAAACAAGACACTAAAGAGCATTGAAGACAGACAGAACGGGGTTCTAAAGTCGGTGGCCAAAAATGGAAACAAAATCCCTGAATTAGAAAGCGAGGTACAACTGGCTGAAGAACACTTTAGTTCACCAGAACGGAAGGCTAGTAGAATTCGAAGATCAATCTTGTCGGAACAACTTTGTTATCTTTGTTATTCCCGAGAATCCCGGAGAAACGAAGAGGTGTCTGGAGCAAAAGGTGTTTGACGACGTCTTTAATACGCAACTAGGTGTGTCACTGACGTCGTTAGAGAGGACACACAGGATAGGACGGATCGTGCAGGGTAAAAACAGACCTGTAGTCCTTAGAGTATTCGAATACAATGAAAAACTATTGGGGTTTAAAAACTGTAACAAACTAAAAGGAACTGCGGTGTCACTTTCCGATGACTTTTCAAAAGAAACCTTGCTGACAAGAAAGAAGCTGTGGGAGTCGACCCGCGAGGAAAAAATAAGGGGAGCAAAGGTTAAGCTTGTTCACGACATACTTTACGTTAACGATGCAGCGCATGCGTGGGACCTAGAAAAAGAAAAAAAGGGTATCAATAAATGCCCCCCAACGGCCCAGTTCCAAACATGCTTCGGGGCAAAATTGACATAGGAAGGAACCATTATTGATCATAGTCACGCTAAATGAACAGAGTGTCATGAACAAGACTGACCAACAAGAAAATGTAATATCGGACCACCAACCCTCACCTGTTAGTAATTACAGAAACATGGCTGCGACACGATGTATCAAATTTTGAAGTTTTTCCGCCCGGATATGATATTTTACGCCATGATAGAGACACTGGAGGTGGTGGAGTTGCGTTGCTTATAAAGCGGTTCCTGAACTATCAGGCTGTAACACATATTCCATCGCACGAAACTGTATGGTGCAAAATATTCCTAAAAAACTGTATCATTTTGGTCGGTGGAATATATAGACCGCCATCCTCAGAAATTAGTTTTATTGAAAAAATGGACGACTTTCTGACGCAACATGTTAATGAATGTACTAATCTAGTTATTATTGGGGATTTTAATTTACCATACACTAACTGGGGAGAAAGAGTTGTTGAAATGTCAGGCGGCAGACTACATGCTAGAAGTAATGTCGTAACGGTCTTGATCAAATAGTGGTGAAACCCGCCAGAACATGCGGACCACGAAATTGTATTTTAGATTTTTGCTTTCTTTCGATAGATTCCTTCAATTACGAGATACAGGTTGTAGACTGAATTTTAGACTACAAAATGGTACACGTGACAGTAACATGTGATTGCCCACTTCCAAAAAGGAAGAATAATACTGCACTCGTTTATAACTTCGCAACCGCTGATGACACATCAGTCTTAGATTATCTTGAACGCTCCGTTGAGTTTTTATGTCTGAGCGATAACGTGGAAAACCTCTGAAAGCATTTCAAGGAAACAATAAATCACTGCTTGACATCATATGTCCCACAAAGACTAAAAAAAAATTAATAAAACCAATCCATGGGTTACACGCAAGATCATCCATTTGAAATGCAAATTGAAACGTAGATGGTTATGTAAGCACAGGAGCCCATCTGTAATTAGTTCTTTAAGCCGGGACATAAAAAAGAAGATAAAAAGCGCCAAAATCATTTTTTTTTTTTTGCAAACACCGTGAATACGCTTTTGAAAACATCACCCCATAAGTTCTGGCAGCATTTGTCACCTAAAAAGAAAGGTGTAAAGAAAATCATTGGGAATGGAACTATATGCAATAACCACCAGCCATGGCAGATGAATTCAACAAATATTTTCATTCGGTTTTCTCAGGTGACAATTCTGCGAATACTTTAATAAGCGCTGAGCCTGACTCGTTAACGCAACAGATTCAAATTAACTTTGAGGAAGTAAGGGCTCTACAGCTAAATATTGATATAAAGAAAATGCCAGGACCAGATAGAATTCTACACGAATTCCTGAGACGCTATTGCAAACCGCTATCCCACTTTCTAACTACCATCTTTCAGAAATCTCTCGACGAATGTCGCTTACCAAATGACTGGCTATCCGCCAAAGTTGTACCAATTCACAAATCGGGCAACCTTGTTAGCGTAGGAAACTACAGACCGATTTCGTTGACATCAAATTCATGCAAAATGCTCGAGCGCATTATTTGCAAACGGCTCGTAGATTTTATAGAAAACAACAATCTTTTCTACAACAAACACCACGGTTTCCACAGGAAGCCCTCGACTATTACTCAGCTATTTAAATCAACGCATCGGTTTGGTGAAGAACTAAACGCACGTGGCCAAGTCGATGTTGTGTCTATCGACCTATCTAAGGCATTCGACAGAGTCATACATAGCAAGTTACTGAAGAAATTACTGCGTCTCGGTGTTGATAAGAACTCGGTTTCTTGTATCAAGTCATATCTTTCTGATCGGATGCAGTATGTTCAAATAGACGCCCAGCGTCATCTGTTTTGCCTGTCTCGTCTGGCGTACCCCAGGGTTTTGTTTTGTGTCCAGTTTTATTTTTAATTTATGTTAACGATATCTCTCAACATATTAATTCAACTGTGGAAGTACGATTGTTTGCCGACGATTGTTTGGCTTACATTACTGTGGAAAGTACTGACGATCAAATCTTGTTAAATCGTCCCTTGTTGACTATTTTGCGATGGTGTGAGAGGTAGAATATGCGCATCAATGTTGATAAGACAACTGTCGCAAGTATAACCAAAAAGAAGTCTCCTTTAATGTTTTCGTATTAGATAAGTAGTATAAGCCTGCACCGTTCTAACATTTTTAAGTATCTCGGTGTTACAATGTCAAGTGATCTCAACTGGAACACGCATG